AATCGCCGCAGGACACTTCTTGAGTAGTACAAAAAATACAGTATTTGAACAAAATATCTTTGAGTATATCATTTAAAAACTTTAAAAATCAGAATCTGAATAAATTTATTATCAAAGAAAAGAATGAGGCGAGCATGTTATTAGTGCTAGGTGAATTACATCGTTTAACTTATATAAATATATATATATTATCATTGAAACATAAAAATCAAAACAAAAATATTAAGTATTTTTTGTGTAAATTTTATATACCATACATCTGTTTGAAGTGTTGCATCGCCTACCTACGAATATTGTTCTTTTGTTCGTCTACTATAGCTTACTGGAGAAAATCGTATAAACACTGCAGATGTCGGTTGATATTTCCTGCTATTGTTCGCGATCACGAATATATTTTATCCTCGGCAGTTTGGTGTCAACTTACGATTCCTTTACATATCAGTACTGCATTCGCTATTGTTATTTATTATAATCACATGCTTATATACTTATGGTATACCTAAAGGCAATAGGCTTATCAGTTTATTATTAAATTCGTGTTACAAAACCACGACAACATCGCAACAACACGCGGACAGGCGGATATACTTTTGTATTTTCAAATTTTCTCCATCTCAAGTACCTACCTATAATTTAATTGAAACATTTTTCGTTGTGTAAATGTAAATAAGGTATTTTGAAAAATACAAGTATAAATGGGTACCTAGCTATTATGTGAATTATTTCTGATTGATCTATCGTAATTATATTTGCATGGATTTGTAAGTATTAAGTTTTAAACATTTAATTAAATTACATTTCAATATTTTAATTTCGGCCAAACTCAACATATTATCACGCAGTTTACACAAAACCTTAATAATTTTTATTTAAGAAATATGTTTCATGAACCCTGTTTTTAAAAATATTTTCTTTTATAGTATTTATATAAAACTATAAATCCGTGTTACGTGATTAAAATAATACACACATTGTGGTGTAAAATATTTCTGTTTATTTGTATTTTCTAGAATAAGCTACCTACTCATTTAAACAGTAATTGTATATTATGCTGGAGAAATATTATGTATTTTTTTACATTGCGGGGGTTTGATTATAATATACTACCTGCTGCAGTCTACCTGAGTTAGACAGCTTGAACTGTATGAACTATAAAGACGAACTGTTTCAGGCTTAGCCCAGGTTTCTATAGAATTTTTGAAAATAATTCTAAACTATCTGCTAAGCCTACAATTTGTGATATATTATTATAGTATTACGTTTTATTCATAATAATGTATAATATATTGTGTTTTAGCTGTAATATTATGCTACCTAGTTCAGTTCAGAATATCAATTTATTGTAAATAGTCAATGCTTTGAGAATATTATATAATCTGAAACAACTGCATTTTTTATCTCAAATTATAGATATGGTAGTAAACTATTATTCGTACATATTAAAATAAAAGATTATTGCCATATATACGAATCGCATCAACTAATTATTTTAATGTTAAATTGTTAAATCAGATGGATTTATGTACCTATTAAGATGCATGGTATCAACACCTACTAACAATTTTTCATTCCAATGATATACCCCAATTTTGACTTTATAGCGAAAATTATCTTAAAAATTAAGCTTTCCTAATCTTACCATATAAGTTAAAAAGTATATATAAGATACAACAGCCATATAATTATAGTTTATAAGAATGCAAATAATATGATAGGTGACGATGCACTAGGTACAATAGATGTAATAACTTTTCTTTTTTAGCTAACTAGTATAACTATATATGATAACTTGAAATTTACAAAAGGTGTAATAACTTATTACGTTAAATGTGTCTCACTATCTAATATTTTAATTTAATTGTCTTTTGTATGTATCAACTATTGTATCGTATCTTAAATTGTAACATTTGCATCCTATATTATTTATTAATTGTTGAACTGTAATATCTATCGCTGAAGGTTCTAAAATGAAAAAAATAAAAATAAAAAAACTCATTACGTATATTTATTTTATTTTGAGAAATAAATCAACAGTTGTATATGTATCAATTTGATGATCACAAMAAATTGAAGCTATGCAAATGCAAAGGGTAATTTTGTCCACAACTGGTAACTTGATTCCAAATTATTTTTCATCCATTGTTTTTTTCACGACGAGAGAGTTGGCCCGGGGGCATCACCGACTAAAGGGTACCTAAACCCTATCGCCGGGATAAATTAGTATTTACTAACTACGCCACTGCAGGAGTAAAATATGCGTTACTAAGCGTGTCGGCGGCGGGGGTCAACAATTCAACACGGTACGTCATTATAGCCTTTATTTTAGCGCGTGGCTCTTGCGGCAAAGGAATCGATACACAGACGGGCACTGACACGACCGCGACCACGTTCACGTCAAATGCTCGCTAGTTTTTTATGCCGGTCGGTTTGAGTCGGTACCTATAACATTTCGAGTGACGGGGTGCTACGCCGATGTACGTCACCCATCTGCTTTATACAAAATTATGAATTTACAATAATCGAAAAGCCTCGCCGGGATGACACAACCAATGAGTGACGAAGACTGGAGGGTGTTCGACATTCTCTGCGGCCAAAAAGTAAACGGGCATGATTATTATGATTTACGTGGAATTATTTTTATAGATTATGCGACTGCAGAACGGGAGATATTTATGCAACATATAATATAGGGTTGCTGATGGTCTTTTACACCATTGTGTTTTTCTTTTTCTCTCGGAAAATAATTTTGGCGGAGCGACCGAGTGCTAGAGATCAAAGATCATTCAACGATGACAGCGAGCTGACTTCTGATTTTAAGATGGTTTATTTTTTAATCAATCCTGTTTGATAATTTTCWAACAGCATTCCGGCGTCTAACGGCTGAAAACATAAATTGACTTATTAAATCACCATAAAAACATATTTCCACACGATATCATCCATACACCCGTTATAGTCTGTCCAACGGCCACCAAACATTGCACCTAGGTATACTCATAAATTTGATATTATATTACGTCCTGCTATGTATTTACCTGCAGCCACACGCACACGATCGTAATAACACAAACAATATGATTCACGCAACATCATATTGTTATTATAATAACGTGGGCATCCGCGCAACAATACGTGCTTACATAATATTATAGTTGTTAATTTATACACATAAATCTCGTTCATTAAATACGATCAAAGCGTTGTATTAAATGTTTTATCATTGATAGTATGCTGCGACGTTCGAATAAATTATAACAGTGAATACGCATATGCACAGTATGTTATAGGCGCATTACATATTATAGATCACGGTGTCGTGCTAAAAAAAATTAACATCACGTCACGATGATTGATTTTMTTTTAAGTACRCCGAGGACACATTCGCAAAATGTATAGAGACACACACGCACAACAATGCGCACCGGCCCCGGGTGATCCACTGGGTACCAGGCAAACAGTAGCGCTGAATATTTGCAATGTCGTCTGAATTTGAATAAATCATAAAGCATTATATTATATACCTATTATACGTATTATTTTCATCGTTATTGTTATTATTATTATTATACCTAATCGGTGAATTTATATGTATATATTTATATTTAATATCTTCGTTTATCCTAATATTTATAATAATTGTATCCGATGTATAGGATTATTATTGCTATCATACTATGAAAACGGTCGTTTTTATGCGCCAAAAATAAACTCGAAACTCACAGGTTTAACCTACTTAAGAACACGGTTCTTGTAAATGTTTCCATACAATACAGGTATCGTGTGACATGCAAATCGATAAATTCCATTCGTTCACGACACACGCACTATTGTTGTACTGTACGCAYTCGGCGACGGCGGTTTGACTTAGTACTCGGCTGGCCGACCAACATATCAGAAGTCGGTATATATTTGCCAGTGTATTTTGTTTGGGGCGGTTCTCCAAAAAAACAATAATGATAATAACTTAACCACACACAAATAATTAAAAGTCCAGTAGAGTTAGATAAAAAAAAAAAAAATACCTTCAGGTATGGTCACTAGGCAAAACACATATAATATGCATTTTATTCCTTGTAAACGCCGTAATTTCGACGAGAACTGGTGAAAAGGGTAACTGGAATATAATGTGCGTGACTCCAGATAATCTATATAGAATTTTACAATTCGTACGTGGTACCTACCAGTGAAAAAGTTCTGTTTTCTGCCCCTAATAAATAACCACCTTTTATTTACATTATTCACGCGTTAATAACAAAATATTTCATATATTTTTGTTTTTACACCAACGGTACTCTGTTTTTTGCAGATGGATTCTGAAGATACTATAAGTAATCACGAGATGATTTCTACATTGAAAAGTGAACTGGCTGCTTTGCAGTTCAAAAGAGATCGTCTTATGTCAGAGGTTAGTAGTCAAGATGATTATTTAAAAAAATTAAAATCTTATTATTTCATTGTACACAGCTGCAAGACACAAAAGGCCAGCTTAGRTCTAGAGATCAAAGAACTGTAGAGCTCGAGGCTGAAACGGAAATGTTAAAAGAGCAGCAAGTCAGACAAAATTCTATCATTGCCAGTTTGAGAAATAGGATAAAGGTATACATGAAATATTATAATTATTTATAAATAAGCTTTTATATAATCTATAAATTTATTATTTTTACATGTCTTAAATTTTTATTAGGAATTGGAGGACCAAGAAAGATCGTTGACCACGTCATTGGGAAGAGCAGACATGTCTTCCGAAACTTTAGCTAGAGAAAATCGCCATCAGGCAGAAAAATGTTCCGAGTTGGAGCGCAGAATTGATTTATTGGAATTGAACTGTACTAAAGCTGAAAACGYGAGGGATTCGGCTAGGAGATCAATGTCAGAGTTTGTGAGTAGAGCTTCGATGGCGTTAGGTTACGAGTCTTTGAATTCAGATTCTCCAGCTGCCGTTGATGTGGTCTTATCTAAAGCATCGGAAATGCATCAGGTGAATATCTGGCATATTTGAATACTTAATAGTTTTCGTATACAATAACTGAATAATATTATTTATAAATGTATGAATTAATTTACTATAAAATAAATTAAATTGAAATAATATAATATGTAATGATACCAATGTATAGCAGATAGTTGTCTTCTCATMTTTGTTTCCAATTCGAGTTTAWTTTATTTTGGTTTTGAACTATTAATTATTGACTTTTCATTTTGCAACTGTTTTACCGATGAACTAATGAACAATGATGTCTAATATTACATACATATATTATATGTATAGTCAGACTAGTCAGAGAAAAATGTTAAAAAATATACTTATAAAATACAAATATATATTATGTGGTTTTTATCAATTTTGGCGATCAACATATCAAATGGTCATTTTGGTTTTATTTTTTATTCATATAATAAACCGTTTACTCGAACTGKTTAAACTCAATGTAATAATATCAYTATWGTAATGTAACTATTATTATGATATATTTTGTAGGAATTAAACAGATTGCGTCGTAAAAACATTTCCGTCAGTGAAAATGTAACCGCGATAGAAATAGAATTGAGGAACTGCAGAGAACAATTGGAAAGGGCCTTGACTGACAAAGAAAATCTTCAAAGACAAGCTGCCGGCCATATTCTTGAAATAGATAAGTTAAAACAAGTATGATAATATCTATTAGTATATTCATGTGTCGGACATTTGATTTTTTTACTATTGCTGTAATTACATAATTKTATATACCTAATGGTACTGTGTTAATATGACACGTCGATGATGGTGGTGTTTGAAATGAATAGTAATATAAATTGCATAAAAATATAACCATAATTATACAAAACTATTTACTAATAGGAAAAAGAACATTTGGAAATGCAACAGAGAGTAATGGAACGTGATTTATCCGAGCTAAGGGATAAGCTGATGACAACCAACAGGAGCTTAGGTATCGCTTCTAACAACATAGCCAGTCAGGAGGCCACTATATCCACACTCAGGAGTAAATGATGCCATATAGTTTCGATTGAAAATAATTAATTAAATTCTTAACACGTTGTAGACGATTTAAGAGGGCATGACGAGAGATGTCAAAAAATGCAGAATGACATGCAACACTTTTTGGAGTCATTGGCCGTGTGTCTAACGTCGGCGGATGGGTATGTTCAGTCTACCGAGAGTGGTGTCAAAGATGCGGTGAAGAGACTAGTCAACGAGTTGGCCAATAAGAGCACAGTAAATCGATGGCGACCCTGGGGTCAGGATCGTTGAAAATCGTTTTTGTAAAATGCTTAGCTGCACGGGGAATCCAAGGACAGGATAATCAGCTTGACCGACAGGATCGAACGGCTGCAGATTGACCAGGACAGATTGRCGTCGGAAAATCGAGTGTTGGCCGATGAAAAACGCAATTTAGAGACTAGATTGAACCACGCCGAGAGCGAACTCAACGTGTGTGAAATGACCAAAGAACATTTACGTAATGACAAAACAATTGTAAGCATACAGTGTTCTAATTTTTTTAAATGATTTTATAATTATGATTTATGATTTTATAATAATGATTTTAATATAAATTTAAATACATTGACTTGATTTTWAAAATATAAAGTTGAACGGGAGACATAAGGTTAAAATAATGTATCTAAATATTATATCCCGACTACGCCTGGAAAAAAATGAAAAATATAAAATACGGCACAATATTCGTATAAGTGTATTTCGGTTTTAATTCAAGGAAAAATCGGCATCGATGTACTTCAGTCTGTGATCTAATTCGACCAAGATGGGTATTCCACTTGTGACGGATTTGATCTTATAGTATTTTTCAAACGTATTTGAAATTACTCTCATAACGTCACGTCACTGTATACATATGAGCCATACTATACTAACTTTTTACTTTCAACTTAGATGATAAATATAGACTTTAAAATACTATCCTAGTCTAGAGGTGTTTTTTGATATATAGCTATAGTGCGAGTGTTCTCAACAAATGTGCAATACAAGTCAAATTGTAGGTATAACCTGAATCCTGTAATCCATGGCTAAAATTATAATGTGTTTAAAATATATTAAGAAGGGGGG